GCCAGATGGGTCAATAAATCCTTTAGGAGGGGGAGGGGGTATTTATTTTCCACACTTACAGCATTGAGTCCCTTGTAGTCTACGCAGAGACGAAGAGACCCATCTTTTTTCTCTTTGAACAACACAGGGGCTCCCACGGAAGATTTGGCCCGTTCAATAAACCCCCTCGCTAGGTTCTTTTTCACATATCGCTGCATCTCCTCCATTTCGAGGGGGGACATAGCATACATCCTCAGACGTGGGAGTTTGGCTCCGGGCACCAGTTTGATGGAACAGTCATTGGGTCTGTGAGGGGGTAGAGCATCACATTCTTTTTCACTGAACACCTCCGCCTGGTCCAAGTATTCTTTGGGGATGACTGGTTCACCTGGAGTCAGTGAGGCGGCCATGTGCGCTCACTCATTGGGTGGCCTAAGATGCCCAGTAATATCTGTTGAATCAATGGGGGGGGTCAGGTCCTATAGGTAGTCTCATAGTTCTCACTCCTTTCTCCCACCAGATAAACGGCTTCCATTTGTCTAACCAGGCTAGTCCTAGGATCACCGCCTCAGCCATTTTTGGAGCCACCAGGAAGCAAATAAACTCCCAGTGTGCACCTATCTCTAGGCGTAAGGGTTCAGTTACTTGTGTGATGAGAATTCCTCCCATGAGGGAGCCATCAGCCTGTTCAAACCTCATGGGTTTGGAGAGTGATTTTGCTCGTATGCCCAATTTCATAGTAAAGGGTAAGCTAATAATACATCGGGTGCATCCAGAGTCTATTAGCACACTTAAGTTTATTTGCGCCCCTGATTTAGGGATTATAAGTTTGGCAGCTAGGGTAAAAGACGGGATTTCGCGACTCACCATTGGGTCGTTTTCCCCTTCGTCATCTCTGTCAAGAGGCGGTAGAGCAGGGACAGATCCAGCCTTGGCTCCGGTGTCCTGCCTCGCAGGGGATGTGGCTTGGACAGCCAGTTCTTGGTTGATCCAATTGGATTTCCCTCTGGGGGGTTGCTGATCGGGTTTCTTTTTTGCCGCGGGTCTCGGTCTGCTCTGCTGTTGAGGGTAGGCGACTGGGCAATTTGCTGCTCGATGTCCCTGTTGTCCGCATCGGAAGCATGCAAGCGGTGGCCCCACAGGTGGTCTGGGTCTATCGGTAGGCATAGTTGTTGGGGGTCTCCAGGGGGTTGGTTGTCGTCTGGATCGTTCTGGCATTGGTTCAACTCCAGGAGAGGGAGGCTTCTTATAACGAGAGAGCTTAACGTCCAGCTTCACGGCCGTCTGGTACCACTCCTGCAGTCGATCAGGTACTTCTCGATAGATGCAAGCCTGAGAGTGGTGGTCATCTAATCCCTCGATAAAGTAATGGATGAGGGACTGCTCAGGCCACCCCTCTATTCGACCTGCCATCTTGCGGAACTCTCGCACGTACTCCAGGGCAGGCCTCCCTGCTTGTTTTATTTTGTGAATTTGTCCTGCTGCTTTGAGGCCGATGGATGGGTCTTCGAATCGTTCTCTCAGTCCTAAGAGAAAGAGATGGGGATCTTCCAACTCAGGGGCTTGCTCGCTGTATAGATTGTTCAGCCATTCAGATGCTTCTCCCTCCAGGTTGGCCGCAATGACGTCAACCATGGCCCCTGGTTCCGGATAGAGATAGGCCCAGCGATTTAAATGAGAACGCACTTGGTTGAGGAAAAAAATCAGCTTCTCTGGGTCCCCATCGAACGTTGCTTTGAAAGGTGGTGCAAGTGCAGGCTGCTGCGGACCCCACCCGGGTTGCTGTTGGCCCCATCCGGCCTGTCGATCCCATTGCTGCTGGGCTCTCTGCTGTTGACGTGGTGCCCCCAGTTGCTGTAGGCCCCATCCGGCTTGTCGACCCCGTTGCTGCGGGGCTCTCTGCTGCTGGGCAGCGGGAGCTGGTGGTGCCCCCAGTTGCTGTTGACCCCATTGCTGTGGGGCTCTCTGCTGTTGATGTGGTGGTGCCCCCAGTTGCAGTTGGCCCCACCCAGCCTGCTGATCCAACGGCTGCGGGGCTCTCAGTAGTCGGCGTGGCGCCCCCTTCCGCAGTTGGTTCCACCCTGCCTGCTGATCCAATGGTTGCTGGGCCCTCTGCTGCTGGGCAGTGGGGGCTGGGGGTGCCCCCTGCTGCTGCAGGCCTCCCAATGGTGGTTGTGCAAGCGGGGGTGGTGACGCCCTCTGCTGCTGTAGGCCCCTCAATGGCTGCTGGACATGTTGGGCCTCCCTCGTCTGCAAGCTCACTGGCTGTAGCTCCCCTGGCTTTGGCACTAGCCCGAGCTGTTGCAAGGCCTCTATTATTTGTTGTAGGCTTGGAGACGGCTGATCACTTATCTGTGGAATTTGCTCAATTTCACCTTGCAGCAGGGGCCCCAGGCTGGAATCTCCTCTCTGTGTGGGGCTAGAGGCTCTGGCAGGGGTCCCCAGGGGTTGAAAAGCCAATTGATCTGCAAGGAAGGGGCTGGGGGCCTCTCTCAATGGGAGTTGCTCTTCGCTTTGCACTTCTAATTCTTCAAATCTTTCTGCTAGGTATTCTAATGACCCACTGCAAGCTGCAGGTGGGTATTTCCACTCACCCGAGTCTTCAGCAATAGATGGCCGGGCAGCTCTCCATTGTTGGGAGGAAGGTGATATGTAAGCATCCCTTCGCCGTGACTCACGCTCATCTGCTGGCAAGGCTGTGTGGAAACTTCCGGAGCCTTTGCTTGGCTTGTCCCAGTCTGACGACCAAATCAGCTCTCCTGATAGTTTTGGCCTTGCTCCCAGCTGTGGAGTTTGCCAGAGTTTCTTCTCCACTGTCTGGGTAGCTGGCCCCTCCCTTCCTGGAGAAGCTGCTGCTGCTGTTCCTCCTGGAGAAGCTGCGGCTGGGGGGGTGCCGGCCTCAGGCACTTTTTTCCCTTCCATGGTAAAATCTTCCCCTTCTCTTTGTCAGCTGTCCCCGTTAGCTTAGGGATAGTGACTGGGGTAAGGGACCCCTAAATGAATTTAAAAGTTTGTGGTTTCTGGCTTGATGACATGGTTCCGAAAGAAAGCAGATTTTCAAAGAATTTTGAGGCTTTTTCTTCTAAAAGAATATTTTATTATTCTGCATAGCTTCGGCACTAACAAAGTTAAGCCAGAAACTGAATCCTCCCTCCCCCAAGCATCTGTAACAAAGCATAACTCACTCCTTCATTTTACAGTCATCAATCACATTCTCCAATTAATGTGAACCGTGAGGTGCCCCTCCCGTTGCAGCTGAGCTGACCTTGGCCACACTGTGCCCAGACATTGTTATGGTTAACTTGCATACTTTCCCACCCCTTAACCTACTGCTATCTGTCTTAACTCTAGAAATGCTACTCGGCTAAATAAAACAGGTTTGCTTCTTCATATATGGCAAGCAAGAACATACGATGTTAGCAGTCTTGACACCCTATTTACTGAGAATATCTCCCTTTACTTAGTGCTCTTTGTCTTTGTTCCTTTCCTGGTTTCTTATTATTGCTCCAACGTTTGTTTACTAACAGAGAGTGCGGCCACCATCTTGGCCGCATGTCTTCACTGGGGGCGGCCATTTTGAGGGCGTGTTTTGTCTCCTTCAGGATGCCATCTTGAGTGTGTCCTTAGGCCCTCGCCATATTGGGTGGTCACTTTGCACGGAGATTTTTTCCTGGTATTATTAAGAGTTGATTATCCCTCAGAGGAGGCTTATACTATTTTTCGGGAGTCTGATTTCAGCCCCGTATTGTGTGTGTGTGGGGGGAAACAAGACAATCTCAGCTCCTAGAGGAGAAGCAATATCTGAGTACTGATACTCTACCTCACTAATACCTGGTGAAGGAGCGAGAAGAGTGAACTTTATTCCAACTGTTCTGTTAGTGTGGCATTGTCACAGGCTTATCAAAGGGTTTTAGCAAATCACTTGACTGTCCAGCCATTGCAGTTGTACAGAGCGAGGATTGATTCTTTCCATCTCTGTCAATTGATCTGTGTACCTGCGTGCTCCCCCCCCTACAGGTATTTCCTACTCGGTATATCTGTGCGCAATGGCAGACAGTGTCTCGCCTTCAGTTTCGCAGGGCTCCTCTATGCCTCCCCCACAACAACAAAAATGCAGATCCACTGAATCAGAGTCGGGAGGGAAGAAAAAGGCCAAAACAAAACATTTAACACAGAAAGAGCCCTCAAAAAAAGCTGAGCGAAAGGCCTCAAGGAGACATTTGGCATTAGAAAAATAATTTTCCAGAGCACAAAGACTTAGGGCCAATGAGGCTGACATGGTTTCCCCCACCCCATTGGAATTACCCACACCCGAGTCTGCATTTGTTCCACATCAGGAAATTCTCAGGACCTGGTCTCCTCGGGGGGAAACTGAGCAGATTGGTTCTCCTCGCTCCTCATCATCTGCATCATCAGATCATGGTCCAGCCACAGTGGGCCATAGTACTAGGTCTCAGGAGGATATTTGGTCTGCTCAGTTTCAGGCTTTTATGCAGAATGCATTCAACCAGTTTATGTCTTCCAAGGGTCAACTGTCCTTTCAATCTTCCTCCCTTTATGGGCTACGGTTTCTGCCACAGAGGTTTCAGAAACCTCCTCTCAGTTAGGTGAGGCTGAGTCGGTTGACCTTGACGTAGCTGATATTCCCTTGTCGGACGATGAGGAGACTGTTACTGAGCAGACCCAGACTGTGGGGCTCTTTGACCCTTCTCTTCTTAAATCTCTATTAATCAAGGCAATTTCCACTGTTAATCTCACTTCTGTACAGGAGGAGAAACCTTCTACCAGTCAGGAGTCCAACCCTCTGTTCGCAAAGAAGGTCACAGAGGACAAATATATTCCTTGCCCAGAAGTCTTCCATACCTCCGTGGAGGAACAATGGTGCTCTTTGGCTGCTCCACCTGCGCCTAACAGCGTAGAAAAGAAACTGCTTAATGTATCTCCATCTTTTTCCTCTCTGTTAGAGGTACCTACTGTGGATAGTCCTCTGATTTCTCTATTGTCTACATCCGCTATTCCAGGGGACATGGCAGAGGCTCTGAAGGCCAATGATAAGAAATTTGAGCACTCTCTCCATCGGGCTCACCAGGCTTCGGCATGGGCAGCCAAGGCGGCAACCTCTTCCTCCTTCTTCGCCAGGGCCTGCATCATGTGGCTATGCGAATTGCAGACCAGCGTCCCACCAGATCAGGTTAGAACACATCAAACTTTGGCTAAGATTTTGGCTGCTTCACAATACGTAGCAGACGCCACATTGCTCTCCACTAAATATTCTGCAAGATCAATAGCTGCCACAGTTGCCTCTTGTAGGCTTCTATGGCTGAAGCATTGGAGGACAGACTTGAAAGCCAAGTGGCGTCTGTCCACATCTAAATGCACCGGGATACATTTGTTTGGCTCCATTTCGGATCCACACGTTAGTGAGGGCAAGAACAAGCGCAAGGTTCTAGTACATCCCTCAAAGAAACTAGACAGGAGGACATCTCAGGACTTCCGTAAGCAAGCCTTTCATCCTAGAAGTTCCTGGGAGTGGAGGCAGCCCTTTAGATCAGGGCAATCCTGGGACTGGTCGAGAGGCTTGCGATCCTTCTATCCCAGACAGGATCGTTTCCAGGATCGCCAAAATACTGGAGCCAGAGGCCAGTTTCAGGTTAAGCGCCCATTCAGGGGAACAGGAGGCCGCGCTTACAGGCGATCTAAGTGATGCCAGGGAGGACTCTCCCATTGGGGGAAGACTACAAAGTTTCAGTGATGTCTGGAAAGCACTGCCTCAGACGCTTGGATAGTAGAGACTATCAAGTACGGTCTCACCTTAGAATTTTACTCTCCCCCTCCAAACCGCTTCATAAGATGCCCGCTCTCCAGAAACAAAGTCAAGACAGACCTGATGACTTCGGCCATATCTCATCTGGTCGAAATTCAGGCTATAGAACCAGTACCAAAGGAGCAGGAGGGAATGGGGTTTTACTCCATTCTGTTTCTGGTCCCCAAGTCCTCAGGGGGATGGAGGGCGATACTGAATTTAAAGGGATTAAATTATTTTGTGACCTACAGAAGGTTTGGGATGCAGTCCCTAAAATCCATTTTGGCCAGCATCAGAAAGGGAGACTTTCTCTCTTCAATAGACCTCACAGAGGTGTATCTGCATATTCCCATCCACCCTCAGTACCGCAAGTTCCTCAGGTTTTGCTACGTACACCGGCATTACCAATACAGGGCCCTACCATTCGGCCTGTCATCAGCCCCAAGAGTCTTCACAAAGGTTTTAGCAGTCATAGCGGCTCACCTCAGGCTGAGGCCGGTGCGCGTGCAATGTTACCTAGACGATATCCTAGTCCAGTCCAGCTCCCTTCAGACAGCAAAACGGGATGTTCAAACTACGATACTCATCCTGCAGAATCACGGGTTCTCGGTGAACTTCAGGAAGAGCCACATCACTCCAACAAGGAGATTACAACGCCTGGGAGCAATAATAGACTTGTCCCATTGCAGGGTATACTTTTCTCAGGAGCGTCGGATCAGCATCAGGAAACTGGTTCATCAGGTTCGCAAGGACAAGAGAGTGCCACTGGCACAGCTGTCAAAACTCCTGGGAAAGATGATCTCCTGCATGGGCATTGTTCCGTGGGCCAGGCTCCACTCCAGATTCTTACAGTTGTTTCTCCTTCCTTACCAAAAATGAAACCTCAGTGCTTCCACCAGGAAGGTTACAGTTCCACATCACACATTGCAGTCCCTCCTTTGGTGGACAACATCTTCGATGACCAAGGGAGCCATTTTCAGGGAACTGGACCGGGTCATTCTCACAACAGACACGAGTCTGTTTGGTTGGGGAGCTCACCTGGGGACCCACATAGCCCAGGGACAGTGGTCTCGCTTGGATCTCGCCCAAAACATCAATTGGCTCGAACTTCGAGCCATTCACCTGGCGCTCTTTCAATTTTCTCCCCTAGTCAAGGGGAAGCATTTCCTCGTCAGGACAGACAACGTGGCGGCCAAAGCACATGTCAACAAAGAAGGAGGGACCAGGTCCTGGGACCTGATGCGAGAGGCATCGGCTCTGGGCCTCTGGGCGGAGTCAAATCTGGGCTCCATAAGGGCAGAACATATATCAGGAGAGACAAACTGCCAGGCAGACTCCCTGAGCAGAGCCAAGGTGGACCATGCGGAGTGGCAACTGGATCCTGCTCCATTCCAGGAGATCACGTTGAGGTTTGGTCAACCCCACCTGGACCTATTTGCCACCCCGACAAATACGCAGATCCCCAGGTTCTTCTCCAGATTTCAGTCATGGGGAGCAGAGGGCACAGATGCTCTCTGATGTCGGTGGCCGGCGCAGCTATTGTACGCCTTCCAACCACTTCCACTAATTCCGGCGACCTTACGCAAGCTGATTCTAGAAGGAGCAGAGGTAATCTTGATTGCTCCACATTGGCCACGGCATCCGTGGTTTGCCGACCTGGTGGATCTTTCGGTATCTCCTCCGTGGAGGATCCCTCCGGACCTAGTGGTCCTCAGCCAAGGCAACCTTCTTCATCCCGATCCACAGTGGCTCCAACTAGCCACTTGGCATTTGAGCGGGAAAGTTTAGCCAGGCAGGCATATTCGTCCGAGGTGATCTCCATGATACAGGCTTCTAGACGTCCGTCGACGAACAGGATCTATGACGCCACGTGGAAGGGTTTCTGAAAGTGGTGTCTTGTGCATACATTAGATCCACTCTCTGTCACTATTCCAAACATCCTAGATTATCTATTGGAAGGTTTGAATAAAAGTTTGTCACCCAGTACTATCAGCAGGCAACTAGCGGCTCTTTCAACTGTCCTTTCCTGCGACAATTCCAGTCCTTTGGCGCAACATCCGGCAGTCAGCGCCTTCATAAAGGGAGTGGTCAATACCAGACCTCCCGTTATTCATTGCTATCCTTCTTGGGACTTAACCAAGGTGTTGAAGGCCCTGACTTCGGAATTAGCGGCTCTTTCAGTGAGAGAGGAGTTATGCATCTTCTTCGAGGATAGGGTGGTCCTTAGACTGGACCCCTCTTTCGTTCCGAAGGTTAACACTGTCTTTCACAGATCTCAGGAATTGATTCTTCCTAACTTCTGTCCTAATCCCAGGCACAGATTGGAACATGAGTGACATAAGCTGGACGTGCGCAGGGCTCTGCGTTACTATGTGAAGTGTACTTCTTCGTTTCGTAAGTCGGAGGCTCTTTTTGTATCTTTGCAACCTTCAGCAATGGGGAAGAGAGTTTCTTCTTCTACCATAGGTAGGTGGATTAGGGCTTGTATAACTCAGGCCTATTCTTCCTTGTCTCTTCCGGTTCCCTCACATGTCACGGCTCACTCGACATGCAGCATTGCTACGTCGGCCGCATGGTCCACGCAGGCTTCGGTGGAGGAGATTTGCAGAGCCGCAACATGGTCTTCTCCTTCGGCTTTTGTCAGACATTACCGAGTGGATTCCTTTGCGGCGGCTGACGCTGCTTTTGGCAGGCGTGTACTTCAACAAGTTGTTTCTTCTCATGATTCAAGGGCTTAGACTATCCCTCCCGAGGGGACATGAGGGCTTTGGTATGTGCCATCCAGTGGATTCTACAGGCATCCTGCTGGAGAAGGGGCATTGTCTTACCTGAACGCCTTTTCTCAGCAGAATGATGTAGAATCCACACCCTCCCGTATAAATAGTCTAGGCAGGTTATCACAAATGGAGCGATTGAGTGGAAATTCGTCAGAGCTGCTTCGCCTCGTCAAAACTGGAGTCACTCCCAAAGGAGGGGCGTGGCCAAAGTTCTGACCTAGTCTGCCTGGCAGGAAGGCTGTGAATAACCCATCCGGTGGATTCTACATCATCCTGCTGAGAAAAGGCGTTCAGATAAGACAACGTCCCTTTTCATTATTCTGTTTGCTTGCATTTGCTTTGGAACCACTTGAAGAACTACTAGCTGGCATTTACAGAAAACAGATTTAGTGCTGTAAAGTTCCTTTGCATTCTATTGTAGTTTATTTGCATGTAGTTTAAAATTGCTTGCAGAAAGAACCTTTAGATACTACTGTACTGTGTTTGCTTTTGCTTTGATGGTTAGTGTGTACTATTGTAGACTGCTTGTAGAATGAGATGTAGATTGGAGGGTAGCAGTAATCCCTTGCGGAGACCTGCAAATTCACCCCCCACAATTTATATCTGAGCACCTGCCTGGAGGCGCTGCAGTTCTGAGGCAGGGGGCTGCCTGGCCTTGTCAAAACAGCTGATGTGTGGGGTAACCTTCCCTCTCAGTTCATTTAAAAATGAAGGAAGTCGACCCGGTTGATTCATTTCATGAGAATGGTAAAAATATATCCTAAAAATGAGTCTGATTCATTTTACAAAGTTTTGACTGTCAGCCCTAATGGGCAGGGCTCCATTAGGGTTGTACCACGAGGACTACCTGTAATTAGTATTTTTATCAAAGGAGAAATTGATTGAAAAAACTGGGGCAACCAAGGAAGTCTTTCATTGTCTATAAATTTTGCTATATTTCTTAATAAATTTAAATTGATATGGGGGACAAAATAGTTTTACAGGTAGTCCAGAATTTTTGCTGCTAATTGAGAAATTTGTTAAGTGAGTTTTGCCCCATTTTACAACTTTTCTTGCCACATTTGTTAAGTGAATCACTGCAGTTGCTAAATTAGTAACAAGGTTGTTAAGTGAATTGGGTTCCCCATTGACTTTGCTTGTCCGAAGGTCACGAAAGATGGTCACATGACCCTGGAACACTGCAACTGTCATAAATATGAATCAGTTTCCAAGCATCCGAATGTAAATCATGTGAACATGGAGATGCTGCAATGTTCATAAGTGTGAAAAATGGTCATAAGTTGCTTTTTTCAGTGCTGTTGTAACTCTGAATGGTCACTAAATGAGCTGTTGTAAGTTGAGGACTATTTTTATTTGGAAAGTAATACATATTTATCTGGAAAGTAAAGCATCTTTTTTGTTGTGCCAGTGGTAGGACTTTGCTTTGACTGAAAAATTTTTGAAGCAATAGTTCTGAAGATTTAATATGGCATTGTTATACTTCATTTAGCAATTATTAATGATTTTTCTGATAGTTTCCCAGGCCTTCACAAATGTCATTTTGGATAGAAACCAGTAGACTGTGACATCTAGTCCTATTACTTAGGCATGAAAGCTGGCTAGGTAACTGGCCAGTCACTTTCTCTCAGCCCAAATCACCTCACAGGGTTCTTGTTGTGGGGACAATAGGTGGAGGAAGGAGTATGCCTTGAGTTATTTATAAAATTAATATAGGCAGGATAAAAAAAAACCTCCTCACCTTCACAATATATTCCCAGTTAGGTTTTCCCTATATATTTTTGTAGTTGTGTCTTTAGTTACTTTTCTTTTCATTTCTATATACTCTCAATATAGCCAAGGTTACTCCAACAATGAGATGGGTAATATATAAATTTAATAAAGAAAATAAGTATCATTTAATTTTTATTTATTCATTATATAAATAAAATATACTTAACATTTATTCAAATTATACAGTGATGATTTTTAAATCAAAAAGTAACTTAAAATGAATAATAAAATATTCAAATGTAATATAAATTTTAAAAATGCTTCACTATTCATTTCAGCAATAAACATTCAATAAAAACTAGAAGGAATAAATCTGAAAAGCAAAAATATTTTGATATTTTTTATTATTGTTCTTGGAAATACTTTTGCAATGCTTATGGGTATTTCAAAACTCAAGTATAAACAGTGTTTCTGCCTGTCCAACTCCCAAAAAACATACCTTAGTTTCCAGTTGTCTAAATTGTTGGGCCATTCTGTGGAAAGAAATATAGAGTTGAAGGTAGTTCTGATTTTAATTCTGACCACAATACAATTTCTAAAAATAAGCATAACTGGAGATAATAAAGATCTATTTATCACAGTCATCAAATTACAGTAGGTGGCTTCTCTAAATGCAATACAATTGAAAAGGAAATCCAGTACAATTTCAGGAACTATCGGTAAATAGAAATTAATGCTATTAATTACAGGTAGTCCTTGAGTTACGAATGTAATGGAGCATGCCCATTCCATTTGTAACTCGAGGACTCATAGGAGTGAATGGTGTACCTTGACCACCATCACTCCCTCCTTTCACCCATGCATTCGCTAATCAAATGCGAGGGTCGTTAAGTGCACATGAGGTATCTCAGGATGGGGAAGGCCATGGAGGGCCTAGTAATGGAACAGGCCACCTGGTTCAGACCACCCAAGACCTCACCTGACCCATTGAGATACCTCATTCTCTATCCCCTGGGATCCCCACAATTGCTCCCCCACATCTTACTGTGCTGGGTCACTTACCTTGTGAAAATCTGTCACCTCTCCAGCCTTGCTGCTTCTTTGCCTGCTCCTGGCAAGAGCAGAGGGAGAGCAGGACGATCACGCTCTGTTCAGCTTCTCTGACTCACCGGGCTGCCTGCCACTTCTGGAGCGGCGGGCAGCCTCAGTGAGTCTCCTCCAAAGGCTTCCAGGCTCAGCACGGAAAAGCATTTGCATGCCGAAGGGAGTGGGGTAGTGAAATTGTATTGCTTCAAGCCCCCCGTTGGTGTCCAAACACTTTTTGCACACACACTGGAAGCTTCTGGGTGGCCTAATCTCACAAGACCTCAGGCCCCATTCTCTACAAAAGTAGATGGGTGCCTGAAGTCGCACAAGATCATGGCCCCTGGAAGTTTTTGGCCTCTGGCTAAAAAGTATTTATGCACTTATGAGACACCACTTCAAAAAGCCCCATAGGGCTTGAGGAGGCCTTTGCCGACGAGAACGGAGCCCCAAGAGGTGCACGGGTCCCTCCGGGCCTCTGTTCTCGTTGGCAAAGACCTCCTCAAGCATTTGCTGACAACAACAGAGCCCCAAGAGGTGCACGAATCCCTCCCTGCCTCCATTCTTATCAGCAAAGGCCTCCTCAAACACTTTGCTGGTGAAAACGGAACCCTGGAGAGGCGTACGTGTCCCTCCAGGCCTCTGTTCGTATTGGCAAAGGCCTTGAGGAAAGGCCTTTGCAGCTGTAAATGGAGGCACAAAGGGACATGCACACCCTCCCAGCTTCCATTCTCGGCAGCAAAGGCTTTTTGCAAAGATAGCGAAAGGCTTTGCAAACAGAGGGAAGACTTCGATGTTTCAGGCCTTCCCTCCATTTGCAAAACCTTTTGCCACAGATCTCATCCAGGCCTCTATTTGCAGAGAGGCCTGGACAATACCTGAGATCATGTGAGATCAGTAGCGTGAGATCTCACACTATTGATCTCATATGATCTTGCGGTACTTTAAGCCTCTATTCCCTGCGAACGCAACAAAGGCCTGAAGCGCTAAAACAGGCCAAGAAACTGTAATTTCTGGACTTAATAATTTTGGGACTTGTTCGTAAACACTAGTGGGTGCTTATAGCGTAACTTTAAATTTTCATTAAGTGAATGTTCATAACTCGGGGATTACCTGTAATTGGAATCATAAGTAAATTAAATGTATTTTTATGTAGTTCATGTATAAACTACTGAGAAGCTTTACATTTCATTTAGAGAAATGATTGTTGGCATTTATAGTAATATATTTATTTATTTAATTCATATGCCACTCATCTCGCTGTCAAGTGACTCTGGACAGGTTACAATACTGAGAACTTTTACATTTCATTTAGGGAAACGATTATTGGATTTATAGTAATATACCTTATTTATTTATTTAATATGCTACCCATCTCACTGTCAAGTGACTCTGGACAGTTTACAATACTGTAAAAGCAGGTATAAAATGTTAAAACAATAACACTAAAATATTAAAATAACAGAGATTATAAGTTAAAAGCCAAAATACAACAGGTTGGGGTAGGATTCTTCCTATTCCACCACCAGTATGTAATACCCCATCAGGGCTTCATGCCAGGTTTTGAAGATTTTTCTCAAGGTCAAGAGGATGGGTTGCATCTCCCCTTGAGGAGTGCAATGTTACAGAGGGTGGGAGCCATGACAGAAAAGGGTCTTCTCCTGGACCCCACCAGCTGAAATTCCTTGGACAATGGGGTCTGCAGAATGCCCTTCTGGAACCAGTGGGCCAGGCAAACTCCATTGGGACTCATGCCATAAATGGCTTTAAAGGTCTTAATCAACACCTTGGATCAAGAAACACATCAGCAATCAGTCCAGCTCGTGCAACAGGGTGTTACGTGGCCCAGCCTAGGCTGTTAGTGTGGTTGTATTCTGTGCCAGCTGTAACTTCTGAATATTCTTCAAGGAAAGTTCCATGTAGACCACATTGCAGTAGTCCAAATGCAAGATGACTAGAGTATTAACGATTGAGTGCAGGGACTCATGATTCAGGAAAAGGTGCAACTGGTGCACAACAAAGGCTCTTTGAACAGGAGTTATCTGTCCAAGAGAACCACAAGTTGTGCATAGGGTTTGTCTGTGGTGGTGCAACCCTGTCCAGAACTAAAGATGCTAAAGTCTCAGATCCTGAAGCCTCACACACCCATAGCCACTCAGTTTGCCAGAGTTCACCCAAAGCTTATTGTCCCACAGCAAGCCTCCCACAGCCTCCTGCAGGAGGGCAGCAACACTTTGGGGGGGGGGGATTATTACCCACAATGGTGATAAAAAGTTGAGTATCATCAGCATATCAATGGGTAATCTCACCCAGAAACTTCATATAGAGAAACAGAGAGAATACTGAGCCCTCAGCAGGACACAAAGGCCATTTATTAGTGCTCCCTATTAACATCAGTTGGGACTGGCCTTGGAGAAAGAAGCCAAACCAGTACAAGATTCAGCCCCAGATCTTACAATCGGCCCCAAAGGATACCATGGTATTAAAGGCCATGGAAAAATCATGGAGAGCAGGATGGATGCACTGTTCCCATCCTGCTCTCACCAGAGATCATCAGCAAATATGATCAAAGTTATTTCTGTCCTATAACTGAGCCTGGAACCCAAGTGGAAGGGGTCCAAATAATCCATTTCATCCAGGACCTTCTAAAGCTGTTCACACAACCATTTTTGCCAGCACTTTCCCTAAAAAGAAAAGGTGAGAAACTGGATGAAAGATTTTAGGCAGGTGGAAGCCAATAATGGCTTTTTGAGGGAGGCAGACCAGGGTCACCTTGAAAGGTCCTAAGAACATCAGTTCCTTCAGTGATGTATTTATTAGTGCTTGAACCCACATGGAGGTCACCTTCCTGGAAGCTTTCACCAGCCTGGAGTGACAAGGGTCTATTTGACAGGTAGTTCTGCTGACAGCATTGAGAACCCTGTTCACGTTATCAGGTCCAACAGAGTCAAATTGTTCTCAGATAACCGGGTAAGGTTACTTCCTAAGCATCTCTAATGGACCTTCTCCACACTTGGACTCCAAATGAGAATAACTTTGTCCATCAAATCTTCCACAAAGTCCGCTGTACAGCCCTGTAGTAGATGATCATCTGAGCCCTCCTCCCAGAAGAACCGGATGATCCTGAACAGGGTCATCAGACGACAATCTGTGAACACAATAAGTGTGGAGAAAGAGTGGAGAAATAATGCCATTTCACTATTTTTTAAACATTTTATTAATTTTCCAATTTTACAAAAGCCAAGTATTAAGGAAGCAACATGGTGATTGGGTAATA